CACCAACACACACCAACACACACTAACACACACCGACACACACCAACACACACACACACACACACACTAACACACACACCAACACACACTAACACACACCAACACACACTAACACACACTAACACACGTGTAGCTCTTTCTGCTACGTCAAACGCGTCATAAGTGTATCTGCCGCATCATCGTTGTAGCAGCTTTAGTTCGTTGTCACGTGGGAGGGTGACAGAAATACACTGCAATTTGTTAAAAAAAACGCTGAATCAATCTAAAAAACACTTTGGCGACAAATACAAGGGCCACACATCACTCTTAGAAGGTGGAAAGCTCTGAAAAGTAGATTTTGCATGAGATGGGCCCTTTAATATTTTTTCATGTTGTAGATATTAACATAGACAGACAGATTTGTGCAGTTCAAATGCTACAGATGTTCACAGTCACATGTCTCACATTTAAACTGTACAAATCTCTCTGTCTATGCCAATATCTACATCATGAAATCCATTTTTAATTTGAATTCTAAAATTGAGTAAACAATTTCCTTTTATTTGTGATCATAACATTAGTTTAGTTGAGTGTGTCACTAATGCGTGGTCGTTTCCTTTAAGTTTTGGTCTTTCTTCTCTTGATAGTTGTGGATAAATTGTTCATGAAGAATGTTTATTCTTTGTGGAGTTTGTTGGTTGAAGATTTGGTGCTGGAGAAAATGACACACATTTACACACACATTTTACCACAGAAAAGCATGAACCGGAAGTGACATTTACTCTACACTTACACAACACTTCCTGTTGTTGTGAAAAAGGTTTATCTGGGACTAGAACACGACCAAACCAGGTCTACCACCCAGACTAAACTGACCTCATACCCTTTGTCTAGTCCTGGTTTGGTTGCTGGTTTAGACCTAACCAGGAACCTGGGTCCAACTTTCCTCCTGGTTTTGTCCAACTTCAGTCCTGGTTTAATCCTACTTCAGACCTGGTTTAGTCCTACTTTAGACCTGGTTTAGTCCAACTTTAGACCTGGTTTAGTCCTACTTCAGACCTGGTTTTGTCCTACTTTAGACCTGGTTTAGTCCTACTTCAGACCTGGTTTAGTCCTGGTTTAGACCTGGTTTAGTCCTACTTCATACCTGGTTTAGTCCTACTTCAGACCTGGTTTAGTCCTGGTTTAGACCTGGTTTAGTCCTACTTCAGACCTGGTTTAGTCCTGTTTTAGTCCTGATTTAGTCCTACTTCAGACCTGGTTTAGTCCTGTTTTAGTCCTGGTTTAGTCCTGGTTTAGTCCTACTTCAGACCTGGTTTAGTCCTGTTTTAGTCCTGGTTTAGTCCTACTTCAGACCTGGTTTAGTCCTACTTTAGACCTGGTTTAGTCCTGTTTTAGTCCTGGCTTATTCCAATAGATGTTTCGTGTTCACAAACGTTGGGAGATGTGTTTGCAGTCAGGGAGCAGGAGATGCTCAGTGGCAGAGTGGTTAACATTCCAGGTGTTATTGGAGCTCAGTACAGTGTGTGATTTTGGCTCTTGTACATGTGTGTGTGGTTTGTGTGTTCTTACCCTTTAGAATACCAGATCATGTGGTGTTTAGATCTTAATAGTTTCATCTGTTCTCATAATGACAGTTTATTCTGTGGCTGCAGGAGACTCACTTCTGTCTCAGGCTGAAGCTCTTGTTTTACCGTCACTGTTGTTTCTTCACCCAGAATGTTTTGTCTTGTCTGAATGTTGTGATGTCAAAATGATCCACTGATATCAGTTTATTAAAATGACATCTCTGAGTTTTTTGTCTGCTTTTTATTTGCATCATTACAGCGGTTTGACCTAATGATCCTGTGCTAACGAGCGCCACTCAGTTCATCTACAGAAATATTACATTTAAATAGAAAAGTTTAAAACCAAAGAGCGATCGGAATTTAACGCTTTGTAAGACGCACACAAATGTGTGAAAACTGGAATGCAGCAGTTTGTTTTTATTGAGCTTCTTTGTCTTATTAATATGAACATGAACTTAAGGTGAAGTAGCTCAAATATTTATCACAATTTATGACCTGTCATAACTGGATACTGTACACTACTGTACTGTACTCTACTGTAAAGTGCACTGTGTACTGTATACTGTGTACTGTAGTGTACTGTGTACTGTACCCTGTACTCTGTGTTGGGGAGTAACAGATTACATGTACCAGAGTTACATAATCAGAGTACAAATTATGAGTAACTGTATTTAGTTACAGTTACTGTTTCAGTGAGTGGTAAATAGATTACAGTTACTTTGTTGGAATAAATGGATTACATGGCGATATTTTCCTGTTTTCACATTTTGTTTATGTTTTTTTGCGGTAATTCCACTCATTGCTGGAAAATAAACCAGGTCTAAACTAGAGCTAAGCCAGGTCTAAACCAGGTCTAAACCAGGTCTAAACCAGGACTAAACCAGGTCTAAACCAGGTCTAAACCAGGACTAAACCAGGTCTAAACCAGGTCTAAACTAGATATAAACCAGGACTAAACAGATCTAAACTAGATCTTAACCAGGTCTAAACTAGATCTAAACCAGGTCTAAAACAGGACTAAAACAGGATTTAACAGGACTAAATCCTGTTGTGTGGACGTGTCTCTTCGTCTTCTATCAATAATATTTTTAATTTGGTTCAGTAAAGTCTGGGCTTTTTATTTTCTTTTAGCAGACAAAACATCTTATGTGAAGATTTCCTCATCTTTGTTTCTCTACAGCAAATCAAGTAATCCAAAGTATTCAGATTATGTTACTCACTTTAAGTACCTTAATAGATTACGTTACAAACTACATTTTGGGGTATGTAATCTGTAATCTGTAGCGGAATACATTTTAAAAGTCACCTTCTCAACACTGCCTGTACTAGCCTAAACGTTCTATGACTGTACTGTACTTCAGGGATCTCAGCCTTTTGTGTCCAGTGAGCTCCTTTACAAAATGAAAATGTTGGAGAGTTACTCTTTTTAGCTGTTGCAAGAAACAGATTGGATATAAGAGAACGAGCCTTAGATGTTCAGTGAGATGTCTGTAAAACATTAAACCATTAACCATTTATTAGTGCACAAAGTTCAAAATAACACATGTGCAGTGGTAATTAATCAAATGTGAGTTATTTAGTACAATACATATAATTCAGAAATCCTTTGGTGAGATACTTTTTAGGACATGGAGAGCTGCTGGTAGCTCCTGAGCTACAGGTTGGACAGTCCTCCTGTCCACAGTACAAGAGGCAGAGTTTGCTAGTTTAGGACGACTGACATCACAACAAATGACACAGAAACTCTGAAGCGTTATGACTGTGCACCGACAGAAGGAAACGCCCCAGTGTCCTGATCCATAAACTATTCTCACTTCTGTTTGTGTAATTAACAACACAACAACTTCTCACTGTAACATGAGGAACACTGCTGTCTGTGTATGTGTGTCTGTGTATGTGTGTGTGTCTGTATGTGTGTGTGTGTGTGTGTGTATATTTGCCTGTGTATGTGTCTGTGTTGTGTCTATGTGTATTTGCCTGTGTTGTGTGTGTGTCTGTGTGTGTGTGTGTATGTGTGTGTATGTTTTGCTGCTCGTCTGTGTGGGCAGTTTGTCTGTGACGTTGTTCGCAAATCCATCTATTTCCTATATTTAGTCGTGTGTTGTGCTGGTGTGTGTGTTGTGCTGGTGTGTGTGTTGTGCTGGTGTGTGTGTTGTCCTGGTGTGTGTGTTGTCCTGGTGTGTGTGTGTGTGTGTGAGTGTTCTTCCGGCTGCAGCGTTGGAGCTGGAGAGGCAGAGTTCTAAACTGTCTGGATGTTTTATTGATTGTTTATTGACAGTTCATAAACATTTGATTCCGGGCTGAACCATTTGAGAAAAAAAAGTAATTGTGATTTTTAAACAAATACAAGACTCAGATTTCAGGTCATGTTTGCACAGATCTAAACTACAGGGTTAGACTTTTTTTCTTTTTTTTTTTTTTCTATGCAGGATAAAACAGGAGGTTTTGTTTGTGGAGGAAATGATGAAACTTCAAAAACTGCTTCCTTTGTGACTTCATCCATTCAAGTTTGGATTTGACTGTGATTAATCTAAACCGGGCTCAGTCCAGAAGGACGTGTGTCACTGTGAAGTGAGTGCTACACATGATCCATGAACAACTCACTGAAACAGATCACACACCGAGAATGTGACGATGAACACTAGAATCTTCACACTAAACACAACCACGGAACAAGGCGAAAAATCAAACTTTTATCACAAACTAGAGGGAAAAAAAAGTATTTTCAATAAAATAGGCTGAAGTACATCTGTCTGTGGTGCCATTTTTTTGTTTGTTTGTTTGGTTTGTGTGTGTGCTTCAGTCTTAATGTGTGTGTGTGCTTCAGTCTTAATGTGTGTGTGTGCTTCAGTCTTAATGTGTGTGTGTGCTTCAGTCTTAATGTGTGTGTGCTTCAGTCTTAATGTGTGTGTGTGCTTCAGTCTTAATGTGTGTGTGTGCTTCAGTCTTAATGTGTGTGTGTGCTTCAGTCTTAATGTGTGTGTGTGCTTCAGTCTTAATGTGTGTGTGCTTCAGTCTTAATGTGTGTGTGCTTCAGTCCTGATGTGTCCTGTAGTGTGCTTCGGTCCTGCAGTGTGCTTCGGTCCTGATGTGTCCTGTAGTGTGCTTCGGTCCTGCAGTGTGCTTCGGTCCTGATGTGTCCTGTAGTGTGCTTCGGTCCTGCAGTGTGCTTCGGTCCTGTAGTGTGCTTCGGTCCTGCAGTGTGCTTCGGTCCTGATGCTTCGGTCCTGTAGTGTGCTTCGGTCTGCAGTGTGCTTCGGTCCTGTAGTGTGCTTCGGTCCTGCAGTGTGCTTCGGTCCTGCAGTGTGCTTCGGTCCTGCAGTGTGCTTCGGTCCTGCAGTGTGCTTCGGTCCTGTAGTGTGCTTCGGTCCTGCAGTGTGCTTCGGTCCTGTAGTGTGCTTCGGTCCTGCAGTGTGCTTCGGTCCTGACCTGTGCTTCTTCTTTTCTCTTCAGGATATGACGACAGAGACACAGACCTGTTCCTCTGTGACACAAACACCTGTAAATTTGACGGAGAGTGTCTGAGGATCGGAAACATGGTCACCTGCATCTGCGACTTTAAGGTACTCAACTACACTACAGTAAAAGTACTAGAGGAGAAGTACTAGTAGAAGTACTTTATGGATAGAAGCTGTTTGTATATAGATATTCTGTGGTGGTTTTAGACTCTTAACCTTTCCAGACATAAGGGCAGTATTAGTACATTTGTCCTCGCCTGGATTTTTTTCTTAATTTTTCTATTAAAACTCTCCCTTTAACCTCCTAATGAAGTGTTAGACATCCTTTTTTCACAACAGTCTGTTATATCACAATCTGCTGCTGGAGTTGTGTCATATTTCACACTCTGTCAACTTTTTGGACATAAAAAATGTTTAATTTAGAGCCTTAGCTACAAAAGTGCAAAATATCAAGTCTGTAAGTAAAACTCAAAATCTCCTTATTGCCTCAAAACAAACAAACAAACAAACAAACAAACAAACATTAAAAAGTGTAATGTCCCCATGACTTTCCCAGTGTCAGTCGTGGAAACAGCTGGTGTCAGGTCCAGGACAAAGAGCCTCATCACTTCTGCATTTCCATGAGGTTCATTACATTTGGATTTGGACATTTGGATTAAAAATAAATGTTTCAAATAAAAATAACAAGGGACGTGCAATTACACAGACCGAGATGTGTCATTTTCCATTTATTTGAGAAATATCTGCACTTAGAGCAACTTTTTCAGCTGTTCTGAACACAGACGCTCAGAGCATCGAACGTTTTGACTCACTACACTCTTTGGCAAAGTTTGGCCCAATCAAAATGGACGGAGCAACTGAGTTTGGTGAAAAACAAAGTTCCTATTGGACACTTGTTTTCCTGACACCATCATGTGACATAGGATAATACCAGAAATATGATTGGAAAGCCGCAACTGTCTAGCCATGCTGGTGCCACCTAGTGTCTCAAAATGATCCTGCTCAATTTCATTTCTCTCCAGCGTCTAGATCAGGAATCAGAAAACAGTAGACTGTTCACTAAAACCCCAGAAGTGTGAGTTCAGGCACCAGCCAATCAGAGAAGAGCCAGACATTCTGTGTTGTCAACGATTCCCGAGATTGAGGATTTAAAGCCGAAACAAAGAGAATATTTGGTGAATTTTACCAATCGGAAATATGTTATTGTCCTTCTTTCTAGGATTTGGGAAAAGTTTAATATACCAGTTAGCCCTGTTAGCAGCACACTACATATGTCATGACCAAATAACAGAGACTGGTTAAATTAAAAATAATATTTGCCTACTGTCAAGCGAACAAATCCTAATGCTGCAAGGTCAGATGGTTTCTACAAAGTGAAAGCGGCTGATGAATCAGGCTAGCAACTATCAGCTTTTCAAGGGAAAAAAGTTTCTATTTTTTACAGCTGGAAAGTTCTGTGCAGTTTTATAAAACATATTCCCAGGTGGTGCACGATACCGCTGGTCTGGAAGGGTTCATTTAAAAAAGTAAAAAACCCAAAAGTTTCAGTTTGGGAGTGAAGCAGTTGGACTGTTTCATGGGCAAGCTTGAGTACAGTTTGTCTCTGTGTTTGTGTGTGTGTGTGGTTGTGTGCGTGTGTGTGTCTGTGTGTGTTTGTGTGTGTGTGTGTGTGTATGTGTTTGTGTATGTGTGTGTGTTGTAAACCCAGAGGACGTTGGTTTCATCTGAACACTGTGGACGTTGGTGTAATGAAGAGTTTCTTGTTTTCCTTACAGGACAGTAGATGTTTTTGAGTGTAGTTGTTTCAAGGTTCATGAGTCAGTGTGGAGTGATTGTTAAAGCGAGCAGGAGAAGACGTCATCAGGGCTTTGGTGATGTGCACAGTATAAACCCGCCTGGTTCTGGTCCAGTGGGTGATGGTGAAGGATCAGCCTCATGTACCAGACCCTCGGGAGAAGAGCAGGTGTTCCCACATACTCTGCTTTAGGTTTACGTGTCTTTTCATAGATTTGACCGAGGCCTATCACGAAGACAAGTCCACACGGAGACCTCTGTGTTTCTTGTACATATCACACCCACCTCCACGACTCCACTCACACTCAAACATGATTGGTCAATCAGATTTGTTTAGTTCAGTGACTCATGTGAAACAATGGAGCTCATCGGTCACTATCATTTACAAACACAAAATATTTCTCTCTCCTCAGATTTAGTTTAGTTTAGTTTATTTATTTAATGAGACATGAACTGTAACAGGAGAGATGTTTTGTACCAGGCTGTAACACCAGATCATGTCATCACTTCTGTTGGCAGTGTTGGGAAGGTGACTTTTAAAATGTATTCCCCTACAGATTACAGATTACATACACCAAAATGTAGTTTGTAACATGATCCATTCAATTGTTTAAAGTATTAAAAAATGTAATCTGAATACTTTGGATTACTTGATTTGCTGTAGAGAAGCAAAGACTAGGACATCGTAACATAAGATGTTTTATCTGCTAAAAGAAAATAAAAAGCCCAGATTTACTGAACCAAATTAAAAATATTATTGATAGAAGACGAGGAGACATGGTCCACACAGGATGATTTAGTCCTGTTAAATTCTGTTAAATCCTGTTTTAGTCCTGGTTTAGATCTACATTAGATCTAGTTTAGACCTGGTTTAGACCTGGTGTAGACTTGGTTTAGATCTAGTTTAGATCTAGTTTAGACCTAGTTTTAATCCTGGTTTAGACCTGGTTTAGATTTAGTTTAGACCTAGTTTAGTGTCCTGCAATGAGTGGGGGGGGGTGAGAACAGGAAAATACTGCCCTGTAATCCATTTTTTTCAACAAAGTAACTGTAATCCAATTACCACTCATTGAACAGTAACTGTAACTGAATACAGTTACTCATAATTTGTACTCTGATTACGTAACTCCAGTACATGTAATCTGTTACTCCAACACTGTCTGTTGATAAGATGTTCTGCTGGAGTTTGTTCTGTGTTTGTGGATCCTGCACAGTGGATCGAGTGGGAGCTGGTTTCAGAGCTCAGAGAAACAAAGCAGCAGAATCATGAATGATCTTAAAGAGCAGACAAACATTTGCACACATTATCAGGTTTTCAAAACTTAAAATGCTGAATATGACAGTGGTGGAATAGCTGACTTTTCTTATTGTGGTCTTCAGAGGCTTTTATATTGTAGACCTTTTTCAAAACGGTAGGAAGTGCTGATGTAGAATAAACGTCACTCACAGTTCATGCTTTTCTCTGGCAAAATATTTATGTAAATGTGTGTCGTATTCTCCAGCAGCTTCATAAATCTGCTTCATCACCAAATCTTAAACCAACAAACTCCACAAAAGATAAACATTCTAACATGAACAATTTATCCACAACTATCAAGAGAAGAAAGACCAGAACTTAAAGGAAACAACGACCACACATTAGTCACACACAGAACAAAACTAACATTATGATCATGAATAAAACACAAGTAATAAGTAATTCATTAATAACTAACTTGTTCACTCAGACTGATTTTAGAAGTGAAATTAAAAAATGTATTCCTTTTTTTTTTTATTGGATCATTTGCGCCAAACAAAAACAAAATATAAACCACTACTACATGGGTCATGACAGGAAGAGTCCGAGCTGAAACAAAAGGTACCAAACATGTACAAGAAGTTTGGATTCACAACTCCACTCACTGTACATATAAATATACAAAAGAACATAATAAATTACAAATTAAAACAAACAAAACTCAGTGCACAATTCATCAACTCCAGAGCTCCATATTTTCTCTTTTTGAAAGGTTTGTACAGTGCTGAAGTGTTTAAAGTCATTGCGCCAAATATTTTACAAAACAAAATCTTGACCAGAAATTTCTTTCTTCCTCGTTCTTATTTTATTTTATTTTTTAATTTTTCTTATTTTCCCCCATTTATGGTTGTGCAAACTAATAATAATGTTAACAAAGGGACAAAAGTTGGTTGTTTACACTGAAAAAAAAAAAAAGGTTGCTGGATTTGCGTAAAAAAGTTATGGAAAGCGGTTGCATGCAACAAAATTCTGTTTAGGCTTTGAAACTTATTTCGATCCCCTGTACACATATTTTTCTCAGAACATGAACGTCACTTTTTCATGTTGATGAAATTTGATCAAATCATGCTGAATATACATATTTATCTTATGTTACCTTATCGTGAAATGTATAAGTATGTATAATTTAATTTAATTGATCTAATTCTGTAAAGAAAACAAAAACAGTCTTTAGTTTTCCACAGTTCTGTTTTGTCTTAAACAGAATCAAACACACAGAGACACACAAGTACAGAGACACACAGTTTGGAGCTGGACAGTGTGAAGATTTATTCCAGTGAAGAAGCTCTGGTCTCTGTGGACACAGAATAACACATGATGATCACATTTTGATGATCTACTCTGTTCTACATGTTTAAATACATTTAAAGTACCTATAATGGACCAGAACAGAATCACAAGAACATTAGAAGTGTATCTGCAGCAAAACTCACCATGTGCTGCTTTTCTTCCTCTAAATGCAGTAACAGGTAGGGCATCTGGTATAAAGTCTCCTAATGCCACATCACCCTGTAGAAACATGATAACTGTTTCAATAGGAAGTTCATTTTGAAAAATGTGTTTAAAATCATTTTAGTTGAGTGACTTACTTTGTTCATCTCTGGATGCTCTGGATATCACTCTTTGTTTGTAGACGACTCTGGAACAAACACATTCAAATCTGAGTACAACTGTCACACTCTTGTAGATGGACAGTCAAATACAATTTGTCTCATGGAAACAGTCCTGACATTAACTCTAATTTCAAGTAAAACACCACAAACATGTTTTAACAATGAGGACATTCTAGTGCAGAGAAGCACATAACATCTTTGAAAAGTCTCACCTCCAGATCAGTTCTCATAATCCTCCTGCTCCACACTGTGTTTCCTCTGCTCCTGGAACTGTCCTGTGTCCTGTTACATTAGAATTTTCCCTCCAAATGTTTTGGGGAGGAGAATTCCAGAGGGAGGAGCCTCACCACAGATTAGAATAAAGTCATGTTTCCTCAGTCTGATTAAAACATGCAGGTCTCACATCGGCCACAATCAAGTGACCTTTGTAAGATTTAAACATGCTG